TGGGGGGAGAAGGAGAGACAATTGACTCAGGGTGTTTGGGGGGGAATTTTTGAGTGCCCTGAGGTATGTCTCAAGTAGGTGACAGCTGTTTTCACCCATTGAAGTTTAGATCTGGAGACTTTATGCCCTCCTTCAGAGACTGCTCATCAATCTCGCACAAATCGGTAGATTTGATTCTCTTCTAAATCAGACTTCCCTTTTATTACAAGCGAGATTGGAGTATTGCAGTGTGAGGAAGTAAAGGTGAGAAGCTCCTGCTGTAAAAGTTGTCTATTCCACATTCTGGAGGGAAAGGGGGGGGTGGGGAGGGGGAGGGGATGAATAAAAATGAAAATGAATGAGAATTGGGCTGCTGATGAGAACGGGTTTATTCCTTTTCCAGACACTGCATATGGATTCTGCACTTAGTAATGTTGACAAAAATAACATCGACTAGGTGTTGCCTCACCCAAAGAATTTATTTGCAAAAAAGAAAGGGTCGCAAACCAGTGCGTGCAGATGTGGCAAGCCACACGCACACTCTGTCCTGCGTGCCAAGATGGAGGGATATTTACAGAAGGGAAAAGAATGTTAATGGAAGGGGACGTTAGAACCATAGAGCTTTATCATAAACACCGAGTTCTTCTCGTAGGGTTCTCTGGTGTGGGGTTCTCAAACGATTACGCAGAGCGCGAGAACTCCCATGAGCCCTAGCTTCTCCCACAGGCCCTCCCGATTGCTTATGTTTGCTTAAAGTTCCAGCTCATCTTTAGCAGACTAATCGGGACATACTTTAAGTCCTCTTCAGATTAGAATTGAAATCAAGATGACTCTCCATTAGGGAAAATAGGAAGTTTGAGGTTTGATCTGAGAGCAGGAACATAAAAAACATTTTTTTAAAAAAATAACACTGTATGGTGGCATTAAATTTCCATACCAAATCTCTAAATGATGATGAGGAATCCAAAATGAAGAGGGCACCGGGTGGGGTTAAAGAAAGCCTAAAGCTATCTGGGTGGCCTGAGATCGAGGCACGAAAAGGTTGCCCAGAGACTCCTGACAGCTCGACTGGAATTAAGAGGCCACAGGGAGAGGCAAATCCTGAGCCAATGGCAGAAGAAGTTGCAAAATGGCACTAGTGTCAATTTTAAGAAATCCAGTTCCTAACTCCCTAAGTTGGTGTGCGCGTGCGTGCATGCGTGTGACCGAGGATGGACCGACCCTGTCCTCAATGGGGAGTTGCCCCACAGAAGGGGAAAACGGACCCTCTGAGGGTGCTGGGATGGAGGGAGACAGTTATTTACGCTTTCCTTTCTTCCAAGCTCGGGGCAATTGTTTGCCCAATATACCGGCTTTTGACAATATCTTCACTTGTCTTGAGACAAAGAGGCGAGGCTCTGCCCTGCCGTTGGCAAGAAAAATGGATGAACTCGGAGTAGCTCCGAGAGTCAACTTCTGTTTTTCTACAGACTCAACTCGCAAGGACTGGTGATTTTAATTCCTTTTTCCTCCTGTTTTCCTGCTGGCTCTTTTCAAAGAATTCAGAAACGTTTTTGTAATAACGCTGAGAGATTGTCCAGCCCAGCCAACCACACTCTTTAGAATTTGCCACTGTCTGTCAGGGAGATTTCCAACTAAAGCAGAAATGAAAAGCTTTCTGCGTTCTGGGGCTTCTGGGTTTGCCGCAGTGTGTCTTTGAAAAGCCGGTATAACACACTCCACAAAGGCTTTGGGCTGCTCGCCTTCTTCCTGAGTGCACAGTTCCACCTCAGGCCAGTTCCCAAGTTCACTCCCGTAAGGTCTTGAATGAGGGCCTCAACCTGTGGCATTTCCTGGCCATTTGCAGGAAAGCCTGGGAGGGGTCCTGGCCGCCACTGTCGCCGGTGTGGGGAACTTTCTTCAGGAAGCCTTGACGTGTCACTACAGTAGAATCGTGGGTGGGAAGAACGGGCCTTAAACGCCAGCCAAGACCCCTATGAGCTGGGTTATGAATGGCCACTGATCTTGCTGACGCCTCTCTAAATTTGGTAGGATAATCTGAAATTGGGAGTAAAGGGGCTTTGTAGTTTAAAACATCTGCTGCTGCCCAGTGGACAGGAGCGTTTTGCCGTAGGGCCCAGGATACGTTTGCGAAGCACATTGCATGGGAAGGCCTGAAGCTGCTGGGTTTTGATTACAGAGCTTTGGGGAGGAAGAGTCATCAGGGGTGGCCAGGCTGGTGGAGCTTCTGCCAGGTTGTCTTCCTCCCTGTTGGCATTTACAGAAATAACGGGTGTCCCCTGCGCCTGCGGATCGGGCCAGAGTGCTATCTAAAATTCTTGCTGGGAAGGCGAAGCTGGGCATTGGAGGGGTTTTCTGGGGAAGGCGGAGGAGTTTTAGGGATTAAAGGAATTCGCCGAGAAGGCGAGGCTAGATTTGGGGGAGGGGAGTTAAGAGAGGGGTCTGGAGATCCAACAGATCCAGAGGGGCAGGGGCAGGGAGATGGGGTCAGGGGACATGTGTGAAGGTAAAGAAGGGGGATTTATGGTGGTTGTGGATGCAAATGAAAGGATCCCTCATCTGACCATTGATAAGTAGGGTAGGGTCTTCAACAGGCGTTTCAATGGCGACTCAATGAAGAAGCCTCTTCGTGGAAAAGCCCAGAAGTAATTTTCCTGGTTTAGAATACATTTTTACCATGCCATGGAGAGGCACCCCCCAAAACAGGTGCAGAAGACGTGGCCCCCATGATCCAAAAGGCTGTAACTGCAAAACCAGGTCAGATAGTCCTATCTTGTTTCTAACAAGATACTGAGCTGCCTTTCAGAGTCAAAACACCAAAACCACGAGGTATGCCGCCGAAGCAGGCACAGAGGACAGAAATTTGATCTCCAGCTGGACCTGAACCAAAGTCTCCCTCTGTCCCCTACCCTGGAACCAAAGGACCAGGAGGACAGAACCAGAACTTGAGCACCTGAACCCTTTCTGAAGCGAAGGGTCCATTTTGCAGGAAGATCCTTTGCTGAAGCCCCATACCCAAAATGGCCAAATTCCAAAGCTTTCCAATCAAAACCTGCCCACGGGTGCTTGTGCATACCAGCCTGTTCCTTCTGACCCCTAACCCTCAATCTTTAAAAAAGCCTTGACGGGGGAGTTCGGGTGTTAAGTGATAGCATTCCATCCTCCTTGCTTGGCACCTTGCAAATAAAACAGCTTTAATTTTTCCATCGAAAATCTCCACAGATGTTTGGCGTTTGGCTCTGCTGCACATCAGGTGTCAGGCAGGCGGACACTCGTTCAGCTCGGCTGGGTAGAAAGGC